GCGGGACGCGGAGCGGCGCGGTGGGAGGCGGCAGGACGGGGGGAGGGGTTACCTGCATCCTGCCAGCCGAACTCTGGAAGCCTGCCTGAATACCCGTATTTTCCGGCGTATAAGACGACTGGGCGTATAAGACGACCCCCGACTTTTGAGAAGATTTTCAGGGTTTAGAAAGTCGTCTTATACGCCGGAAAATACGGTATATAAGATGGGAAAAACAATATCAAACTTCAATAGCATTTCAAGTAAAACCTGTTATTATTTTGCATTTCTCTCTTTTATATACTAAACATTTTTCAGTGTTTCATTTTTAAGGCTACTATGTATGAGTTTGTGAGTTTATACTTAAACACATATGTTTAAAATACCTTGATTGAATAATGCTTGGAATTCTTAGATATTATTTTATGCTTATGCTTTATAAAGATAAATCAGAAAAAGCAGAAATGTTTTTTGATGATTCTCCTTTGTGTTTTTTTCCAGGAGAGATCAAACATATTTTAGAAAATGAGCTTCAGATTCCTGCATCAAAAATGTTGCTAAAGGGCTGGAAGACTGGAGATGTAGATGATAGTGTAAGTTTTTATATTTTTGCCAATTAGTGCTGATATGTCAGGAATGTCTAAAATATTCTGGATTTAATGGCATAGTTGCTTGTACAAGGAAGGCACAATATTTACGAAGGATAGCATTTAACTTTGACAATAGTCAACTTGGACAATATGCAGGGCAGTATATTCTATTCCTTCAGTGTAAGTTTTCTCTTTTAATATTCTGTATCTGAAGATTCCCAATAAGAATGACATGGCACCTCCTGGTGGTCACACAGACAAGATATACACTAGTCCCTGACTTACAACCACAACCGAGCCCAAAATTTATGTTGCTAAGTGAGAAATTTGTTATGTGAGTTAAGTGCCCCATTTTATGACCTTTCTTGCCACAGTTATTAAGTGAATCGTTGCAGTTGTTAAGTTAATAACATTGTTCTTAAGCGAATCTGGTTCACCCATTGACTTTGCTGGTCAGAAGGTCGCAAAAGATAATCACACGATCCCGGGACTCTGCAACTCTCATAAATGTGAGTCAGCCGCCAAGCATCTACATTTTGATCACGTGACCATGAAATGCTGCAATGGCCATAAGTGTGAAAAATAGTCATAAGTTACTTTTTTCATGATGTAACTTTGAATGGTCACTAAATGAACTGTTGTAAGTTGAGGACTACCTGCACACTGTGTAAAAACAGAGAATTCCCTGCCTCCACCCCAGTGGAGAGGGATAGAAATCATGTAAAACCTTGTTCATGGGGCCATGGCATGATACATCATCTGTGTCTCTCTGCTCTTAGAGTTTAAGGGAAGGTGGACTCTGTGTGTGTGTGTGTGTGTGTGTGTGTGTGTGTGTGTGTGTGTGTGTGTGTGTATATATATATATATATATATATATATATAATTCTGATAGCACTTCTTTTAATGTGCTATCAGTGATTAAGAAAAGCTTATAGGAAACAGATCTTTTCAGTTGTCCTCTTACAACTTTCTTTAGTTCCTGTTCCAAGTACCAATAAAAAGATTTCTCTATCTCATTATAAATACTTTTTATTTACCCCATTGTTTATGTGATATTCCTTTATTTATTGACAGTACATAAGCTGCCACCATCTCGACAACTTTGGGTTGTGTATGACACGAAACAAAAGTAATAATTAAATCCAAACCAATATTAAAACAAGATGGAACCACAAAAGAAAAACAAAAATAAAACCTATGATAAAATCCAAGATGGGTATTCATAATCTGCCAGCTGGAACCGAAAGCACATTAACTAGCTATTAATCAGCTGTTTATGAATGGTAGCATAGTGGGGGCTGCACATATTTCTGTGAGAAGAATATTAAAGAAATAGGACAGAAGTCATCAAAGCCAGCTGGATCCAGGAATGGTTTCCTCAAGAAAGGGCATATAAGCACCTCATTCAAAGTAGGAAGCATCACCCTCTCCCTCAAAGAAACATTCATAACCTTCTCGATCCACCCATTGGTGTCCCATCTTCTTTTTCTTCTTCTTGTGCTATATCCGTTATCGGACGTTGGCGATCATGTTGGCGATCCTGTTTTTATCAGCAGCCGCACGAAAAAGTGCTGTTGAGTTTTGTCTAAACCGGTCCCTTAGATTTTGAAGGCACGATGTTCTTCTTCTGCCTGGACCATCTAGCTCAGTGGTTCTCAACCTTTTTAATGCCGCGACCCCCAACCGGTCATAAGTCGAGGACTAAACCGGTCGTAAGTCGAGGACTACCCAACCGGTCGTAAGTCGAGGACTTTCCCTGCCCGGGAGCACCGCACATGCGTGGTTTCGCCCCCTGCGCCGGCCGAGGCGTAGCTGGCAAGCGGCAGAGACGGAGCAGGCCAACCATCAGCTGGCCCAGCCCAAGGGAGGTAAGGCACCCGCCAGAAAAGGGGAAAAAATGACGGACAGCCTTGCTTGGCGACCCCCGTGAAATGGTCGATCGACCCCAAATGGGGTCGTGACCCATAGGTTGAGAACCGCTGATCTAGCTGCCTGAAATAGTCAGGAAGACATGGATCCAGGGCACAGGTGGCAGGGAAGTCTTTCCACTTCCTTGGGTTCTGCAAGCCACAAAGAAGCCCAGGTCATATCACAAGACAGAACCTTCTTTATCATCATAGGCTTTGCCCAACTGATACCCATTCAGAAGTAACTCAGTCACAACAGCCATGAAATGGCATTCCGCCCATCTCCTGAATGGCATTTCCCAACTATATTCTAAATTGAAACATGCCTTTTTAGCACTTTGTACGTAACCGAGTGTTCCTGGTGATTTTCTGAGAATCCCACCTTCCCTCTGAAGAAAAGCCGGGATTGTAGCATGCCCATTTTTTAAAGAAGCATTAAATAACATTGAGAGCCAGTTTGGTGCAGTGGTTAAGATGCTGGCCTAGAAACCAGGGGACTGTTGAGTTCTACTCGCTCCTTAGGCGTGAAAACCAGCTGGGTGATTTTGGGCCATCCTTCTCCCTCAGCCCGACTCCCTTCACTTCACTTCACTTTACTTCACAGGGTTGTTGTTGTGGGGAAAATAGGAGGAGGAGGGAGTGTTGGTAAGTTTGCCACCTTGAGTTATATATGAGAAAAAAGGCAGGGGTAAAAACCTAAAATAATGAAGATTGTGTTGCAGTCAGATTGTCTTGGTCCTGGTAATATAACAGTCAAGATTTATCTTTACCAGTGTATCATTTACTGAAGTAAATTGATGTATTCAATTAGAAACTGAATGGCAATGTATTATCAGTGCAGTTACATTCCACAATGAGATAGTAGTTGTGGGGAAACTTGATTATCTCTGAAGTGCCTTTGAATTTATGATTCATAAATCATGCATGAAGGTGCAGCATCACTATACTGTATATCTCCACCAGTTACATGCAACATACAATTAATTTGCTGTATAAAAGGATGGCGGAGCAGACCTATTTATATGTGGAAGATTTTGGGTTCAGTCTTTGGGATCTCCAGATAAAACGTGAAACATCTCTAACACTGGAATTGTTGTCAGAGATCTGTGATCTGGATAGGCATAACAAACTTTTGACCCAAGGGCCACATAGTCCTCAGATACCTAAGGTGACAGTTTCCCATTGAGTGAACAGAGTAGGTGGGTTTGCATGATCATCTGCAGACGTAGCAAATGACAAAATTTGTCTTGCGGTGGAAACTGCACACCTTTAGTTTGTGCATTGTGACACTGTATGGAAGTTCATCAAGGGTGGAGCTTGTGTCACAATACTTTTTTTTCTGTTTTTGATAAAATCTGAACTTGTAGAAGCCCTTGAGGATTCAGAGGGGTAATATTCATGTAGAGCAGGGGTGTCAAACTCAATTTCATTGAGGGCCGCATCAGCATTGCGGTTGCCCTCGGGGCGGGTGGGTGTGGCCAGGGTGGGTGTGGCCTACTGGGTGGGCTTGGCCAGCTCTACATAGTTCGCATCAAGGGTGCCTGTTGGAGCCTGGGCAGGAGTGGGACAGATCTGAGGGTCTCTGGCAGAAGGGGGTGGGCCCCGGGCAAGTGCCAAGGCATGGTCCATTTCTTCATTCCTCACAAAGGGTGACACTTCCCCAGCATGCACCCAGGGGGCAGGGCTGACGCGGCAGGGGCTGGTTCCTCGCTGTTTCTAGACGGCCTTGTGGAGCTAAGACTGAATGCGTTTCAGCATAGATGGCCACCACAAAATTGTACATTGGCTCCCGGCCGACCTGGGCCATTCCCTCACTGTTTCCAGGATGTCCACATGAAACCACTTCGCGGGCCGCATCCGGCCCCCGGGCCTTGTGTTTGACATGTCTGATGTAGAGCTTTACAAATCAAGCCAAAAATCTGGAAAATTACAGGCATTCCTCAATTTAAAACTAATCATTTAATGATCACTCAGAATTACAGTGGCCTCAGAAAGGGCGCTTTTGCTGAAGATTTTAACTCTGTTCCTGCAACTCAGCAAAGGATTTCCCCACCCTGTGGACAAAGGGGACGGGAAATCTTTTTTGGGTTGCAGGAATGGAGCTAAAACATTCTGGATTTTAACTCTGTTCCTACAGCCCAACAAAGGATTTCCTGCCATGGTCTCTCTCCGGGCCTTCCTAACTCCCCCCTCCCTCTGCTTGAGCCAATGCAGCCCCATCCAGTACTATAGATGGGAAGGTCCCAGATCCAGAAAGCCAAAGCCACTTGGTTTTACCAGGAGTTATGATATACAAGAATGTTTTTGAAGGATAAGGGGAAGAGATGCTTCCTAGGAAATGATCAAACAAGAGAGGAAGGAGCCTCTGTTGTAGTGGATTAACAGTCAGAGAAAGAAATTTAGAAAGGTCTTGCCCTAATTAATCTGATGGTTAAACATGGTGGTGGGAGAGTTGTACCTTCACACTTGCAAGATATTCTCCCCCACTCCCAGAGGTGAGGCAGACCCCTACTTTCCTGGCCTACTTTCCGAAAAGGAGTTAAAACACGCCTCTGCAGCTTTGCCCGGGGAGCTCAAAGAAGCACACAGCTGTGGGGCTGGTTGGGCCATGAGAGCCCCCCCCTTTCGCCTTTTTAATTAACAGGTCTTAATTATTCTTGCCTCCTTCTAAACATTTAATTGTGAAATTTTAACTCCAACGTCTTAATTTTTATATACTGTTTTTAGATTTTGATGGGGGGTTTTTTGTACACTGCCCAGAGTTCCTCTTTGAGGAGATGGGCAGTTCAGAAATGTGAAAAACAAACAAAGAAGATTCTATTAATGTAGCCTCACAAATAAAATAGAATTAACTCACCTAGTCGTGTTTCCTGTCTGGTTTACTTGGAAGGGTTGATACTAAGATTCTGTTGATGACAGTTGTTCCCCATCCAGATACTCAAACCTCCAGGCCTTCAGATAGATCAACAGCATCACTTAATCAGGGGTAGTCCACCTTGGCTCTTTTATGACTCGTGGACTTCAATTCCCAGAATTCCTGAGCCAGCTTAGCTGGCTCAGGAATTCTGGGAGTTGAAGTCCACGAGTCATAAAAGAGCCAAGGTGGACTACCCCTGACTTAGATGCTGGTATCAAAGACCAGAATGAATCATTGTGAATATTTTTATATTAAAAGTGCCATCCAATCTCACCAGAACATACATAGTAGGCCTAATATGTACAAGATGTGTTTGGGCTTTCTCTACTGAAAAAGAAGGCAGTGGACATCAGTCCTCCCAGGTTAAAAATGTAGCAATGATTTTATTAGAAAATAAGACAAGCCTGGCATGCTACTTTTTCATATTGTAGAAACATCACGATTCATTGAAGATTAAAAAACGTGTACAATCTTAATTAGCTTCATGACTGTAAGAATTTTCACTATAAAGAAGGGCTGCTGTGTTTCTTCAGAAATTAATATGGGTATTAGCGATAGAAGAAAGCTTGTTGATTTCTTTAGTAATAGAAGAAAGCTTGTTGACTGGCAGCAGTTTAAATTGTACCTTATGTGTTACATGCAGTTATATTGCAATGGAACCCACTAAGGGCCAGACTGAATAAAATGCTTAAATATTACCAATCATTACTCCCAATGGGATTTTTTTTTTTTATGGAAGAAAGATTTTCGTCAGGAGAATAATAAGGTTCCTGTTGTGCTTGTTATTCATTGTTCCTTGTGTTTTTTTTAACTCACAGAATTGTGGTTGCTAGTGACATGTATAATTTTACATCAGTTTGGCTTTAACTTTCGGATATAGGCACCAAATAGAAACATTTTGACACTTCTAAATTCTAAATATTTTTTTTTCTGCAGACTATTCTAAAAACTTTACACTTGCCCAAAAACAACAACCTGTATGTTCTAACACCCGACTTGCCACCACCGTCTTCATCAAGTTTGCCAGGGTAAGTCACAAATAAATTTGAATGTAACCTAAAAGGATTCATGCTAACAGTATATTTGAGAGTATCCAAACTCTATACATTTTAGTAGCTTTAAACATTTGTTCCAGGAGGAACTAATATTTGGATGGTATAAATTGATGGAGAGGTAGTTGCTAGTAGAGATGATAACCCTGCTTTAGAACAGGAGATTTATTAAATAATTGTATGGTCTCTTCCGCTCTTTTCATGCTGCATTTTCTAAACTGGTTGGGCTAAGGATTTCTATCTTGTTTTACAAATAAAATAAAGAGCATAAACCATGCAGAAATGATTGCACATTCCAAATTATTTCAACAGAACCAGCAGTTTTTTCTAGTTATGTTTTGCTTTCATAACTTCTCCAATTACATTTGACAAAGCATGATTATTGAAATTTGCAATAATAAAAATCCTCGTTTTAGAAAATTTGTGGTACAAGATGAAACACAGTTTTGAGTAAACTGCAGCGCAGTTATACTATATTTGCACTGAAAACTTACATTGCTGGCATTTGGATTAAAAGGCTAGAACTTTGTGTGAAAATCAACTTTAAAAATACAATCTGGAACACTGGAAATTGTTAAGAAGAATTTCTTCATAGAAAGTAATAGATGTGAGTTTTCAATTTAAAAAGAAATCTATAGGACTTGAGTGATTAAGAACATTTAAGGAATTTTAAGATCACATGAAATGAAGTCTGTGCATGCAGCCAGTTCTCATTTGTATGAAGGACAGAGAATTGTGAAAATTTTGAAGCTAAATTGGAAAGAGGTGTGCATGTAAAGCAAAGAAAGACAACTTGATTAGATGGCATAAACTAAAGACAGCATAACATTTACTCAAACTATAATATTATTCGGCCTACTGATCAATTGTTTTAGCAATATACCATGGCACAAAACTTACTGTTTTCAAAGTAAAGTGAAAGCAAGGGATTTAAAATACTTTTTTTTTGCACTGAATCTATCAGCAGTTTGACAAGGTGAATATGTGGCAGTTGGAGACTTTTTGATGTGGTTATTTACATGCATTTTGGATGATGCTGTTATTTTTTGATAAATTAACTTTCTTTACTGGATTTTTTTTATCATTCTTGAACAATTGTATGTCCTGATGGATAATGAGCTACTTTCAAAATTAAAAAGAACTGCTTTTGAAATGAAAACATAGTTTTACATATTGTAGAGGTTAGGGGATCCCAGCAGTTGAGAAAATATAGAATTTGGGTTTATTTCCTCTTGGGTGGGATAAACTTACATAAATCCAGGTCAGTTCTTCTAAATTTATATATTTAATTTATCAAATTTAGAAAGCCACCCATCTCACAAGAGAAGTGACTATGAATTAGTCCCTCTGAATAGTTTAGCGTTCAGGATACAAAGTAAACAAAAGCTTTCTGAGTGATTGCTGTTTTAAACTAATTTGCTATTGCTTGCTGCATTAGCTACAACAAACATTACATTTACATAGTGACTTCATATTTTGTTTTAGTGTAAATAAACTGTAATTACAGCAAATTTGGATGACTATTGACATGAGCTTGTATAAATCTGAATGTTTGCGATAGAAATGTTAATTATTATGTTTCATGGTATTTTGTTAAAATGTAGATGTTTGGTAAGAAAAATGAATTGATATGATGAATAATGATATTTTTCAACTGAAATTCGTGAAGAGGCTCTCTGTGGGATTAAACTGGAATAATAATGTAGTATATACTAATTGTCTTAGATTAAAATCCATTGAACTCAAGAGAATTCTCTCATTCTCTCTCTCTCTCTCTCTCTCTCTCTCTCTCTCTCTCTCTCTCTCTCTCTCTCT